AGCATCAAGTCAATCTTCTCGACAAAAACAAACGTTGGCGCTGGAATGAAGAATAGTCCGGAAATAGCCACTGCGTTTAAGAACCCGAAGGTCAATGAGGTGTTCACGGAAGTGGCTAAGAAGCCAGGTATATTCACAAGGATTCTCTCGAAAATTCCAGTGCTGAATACCTTTGCGTCGCGGTTACGAGGGAAACGTGTTCAATTTACTTCGAGACAAGTCACGAATGTTGGGCATCTCGCGGTTACATCGAGCTCGTCGGGAACTTTCGCGCGTATGTGGGTAAAATACGGCGCTGCTTTCCTCTTCGTCGTCGGGATCGTCTTCTTGGCCACTGTTGTGTATAAGGGAGTGACCCCTTGAGTGGAAGTGTTTGGCTCGTGATTGGTTCGAAGAGCAGGACCAAGACTACGAGTTTTTCAAGGATTGAATCACTGTATCGCGCAACTAGGAATCCTTAGCTTCTCGCCAAAAAAAAAAAACTGCTACTCAAAAGGAGCTTCGATGAAGAAGTTGCCGATAAACAATGTACTTGTACCCGTTTGTCTTCCGAGTGTGGCAATCTAATGGTTCGATGAAATAGATTTGTTGTTCTTTTAAAGAACGTTGGTGAGTTCACCTCATGTAGCCATCCCTGACAATGTACCAAGCAGATTGGAACCACTAACAACGACAGAACTTGCGATGTAGAATGTGAAAGCATATCGGTGCAACTTGCTTTGTGTAATTAATGCACAAACCGCTCAAAGCGCCGAACTTGCAGTTGCAACACCTCTTCACTACCTGCAAATCTAAAACACGAGGATGTGTGCGACTCAGTTTAAGCGAATTGTACGTTAAGGAATCTGCGCATGGCTGTTCCACTAACATTCTTAGGACTCCAGTTGAACACAAACCTAGCTAGTAATTTGCCTGCACTTGATATTCTTCTTCATGTATCGATACTTGTGGCAAAACAAATGGCTACATCATGTAGCCATTTTCTTGAACTTAATATGTAGCCATTAATTATCAACCAATCAGAACTCTTGCACCAAAAATCATCCGCATTACTGTCGAGTTGTCCTCCGGAAGATGTCGTTCCCGTTGCCGACAGGTTTCGACCCGTCCAAGATGATGGAATACCTAGCATCTCTCCCCGAAGACCGACAGATGGAGCTTCTACAAGGCGCTATGGGGAAAGTTGGTGCGTACCAGGAGAAAGCCCAGCAGAGTCGCACGAGGGAGGGACTTATCAAGCGATTTAAAGAGGCGCGAGCCAGATT